GAAACTACCTGGCTTAGCAAAGAAAGATATTACTGCACTTTGAAGAGCTTGGATTGCTCAGTTGTGCCCTTTTGGGCCCGAGGGTTGCTGTCCCTTGCAGCTGCTGGGTTCTGCTCTGCAGWGCCTGGTGCAATCCTGGCTGGGTCAGTTCCTGGGTAAGGATTGCACCTCTGGCTCCTTTCCTCAGCCACTGCACCACTTCCTGCAAGTTCCCAAGTTTGTTTCCAGTCCTTTTAAATGGAAGAGATTAACCAATCTCTGTAACAGTAAATAAACCATGGGTGGCATTTTTAATCTTATTCTTTGCCTGCATTTTGTGTGTAGCTCCACGGTTTCCATAAAATCCCGTGCACCACCACTGCCATGGGAATGAGTGCACTCAGCAGGACCAGCCACGTTCTGATTTCTTGCCTGTTTAGTGACATCAGAGCAGTGCACAGCACTTGGAATGAGAAATTAGAGATGAGCAATCACCCCCGGGATCCTGGGGCTTCTCAGTGCACATCTCATGCACCAGGGCAGGAGGTTCCAGGCTGAAAGAGGCTCAGGTGATTGTGGGGTGGCAATGAGTGGGCTGCAGAGGAGGAGAGAAGAAACTGCACACATCCCTGAGGGGCAAAGATTGAAGATTTCATCTGATAGAGCAGAGCTGAAATCAGGAGTGTGACAGCAGTGCTTCAGGGAGGAGGTGAAGCAGTATTTTTTTTTTTTTTTTTCATTCCTTTTGTAACTGTGCTCTGGACAAGTTAGTTCCGTTTCCAAGCAATGATTGCTCCTTCCAAATCACAGTACCGTGGAATCATCACAGGATTTTCTGAGTTGGAAGGCACTCACTAAGATCATTGAGTTCAACTCTTTAGTGAATGGCCCTTGCAGGTATTAAACCACAACCTGGGCATTATCAGAACCCAGCTGAGMACCTCAGAGGCCTCTGACCTCATGTCGATTGATTTTATCCATAATTTATTTGTAAATACACCKTGAAGATGAATACAAAGTTAGTATTACAGGAAAAGTAGTAAATTACACAACTGTGTTTGAACACAGACTTTAGCAGAAGTTAAATCAATTACAGTGGCATGTTTATATCAACCAGAGAGAGCAGCAGAAATTCTGGAGTGGATTTGTTGCACAAAACTAGCCAAACAACAAAACCTAGCAGCAGCAAAAACATTGCAGAGAATGTAATATCTACTTTTTTGAATATTGCTGGAAATACAGCACAAAGTTAAAAATATAGCCCCCTAAAAAATAGACAGCAAAGGATACACTCTGTGAAAATCAAGCTACTTTTATATCCTTCCCTGAACCATCATTCTGATGCTTTTATCTGTATATAGAAGCATCTTAAATGAAATAATACTGAACTTTTTTTGTTTGTCTAACTTCAAACATATCCTAAAGTCACACAGAGCAGCTGCTGTTACTCTCTCATTGTGTTACAAAATTATTCTGTATTATTCCACCTGGCGGCCTGCTGCTTTTATATTTGTACATCCKTTTAGGTAAATCTTACAATTGTAAAGAAAATGGTAGAACAAGCCTCGACAGCCCAGCATGTTTTCAGTCAGAAATCCTGGGCTGTCTGAGATGGAGGAGCAGGATGCTGTTCAGTCAGCTATAAAACACAAGCAGACAGAGCCAATGAACTATATGAATGTATAAATGGAAAATTAAAACTCCAACCTACTAAGGGCAGATGAATGTTACTGTAAATGAATTATTTGTACAATGTGCTCATTGGAAGCTCCAAGTCTGTGTGGATTGGGAGCTATTTCCCATTTCACACGTGATGAATACTCGAGGTTGTTGCATAGCAGCCTGTCCTAATGTTTATGTATTTGTGCCTTTACAGCTAGAAACAGTACATTTTAGGGCTKCACATGCATTGGCAGGGACATCTATTTCTGGAGAGAAACAGAACTACTGCAATTCACTTAGCAATTCACTTGAAATTCTCCTTATTTTTCCTTTCAGACTGGTATTRTTTAGTGTTTGCATAATATGATCAAGATGTTCATTTCAAACTCTACATATGCCACAGTTCTCAGGGTTTAATGGGTTTTTCTGAGCCACTGTGGCTTTCAGCTGTTGTGGTTCTTTGTGGCATCACTGGGCATCTTCCATGCTTGTAATCTTTTTGCTCTTTAGCTCATGACACTGAACAGCTGTGATRACTCAATGATTCTGTGAAGACAGTATTTTTTGGAGACTTCCTCAATAATAGGCTATTGGTACAATGTAAATATTGATGATTTTTAACACCTGATTCAAATAGTTGATTGGTTAGTTTTCCTTTAATAACACTCAAGATAAACGTATTTATCTCTTTTCCCACAGAAACTTTTTTGTACTTGTTTCTCAGAAAAAAAAAAAAAAAAGAGAAAAAAAAAAAAAACACCAAGAAAGCAGAGAGAACTGTTTGGCCCATAGAAATTCTTGGTCACTCTCTTTATGTACATCAGGTTTATAGTTGCTGCTTCCAGCCTATGATGAATTTTGAAACTTCTGATTTATTTTAAGAGTGTGTTCAGAATTAAATGTAATCTATGATTGCTGCAAATACCACCAAAATGTTGGATCGTTTGGGTAACTTTCTTTGCCCAATACAGAAAAATGTGTGTTAATCCAACATAAACCACCAGCAGTGAGTGTGGGGTCACAGGGTGTGAGGGTGGTGCAGAGTTCCCTCACCTCACACTGGTTGTGAGTGTAAAATGATCCTGTCCATGTGGTTGTGTGTTTACACTCAGGCTCTGTGCTGGTAAAGTGCTCTCTTAATGAGGGTAAATGCTACTTAAGTGCCTACATTAAATAAATATCCTCCTGAGTCCTTCCACAAGTGCATCTGCATGAGGATTGTCTACCCTGCAGCCACTGAAACACTTCTACTAGACTAGATCAGAATGCAGCTCCATTCCATGTTATTTCTGTTGTTTTTCCAGTGCATTTGCCTCATCCTTGCGCTGCTGCTCTATTTGAAGTTACTACGGCAACCTGTCACCATCTGCTATTATAAAGTGTGCTGGGGTTTTGTTGCTAGGTGTTGAAGTTTGTCATCTTACTCATATGATGCTGATGTTCCTCAGCTGTTTCTTTTCCTGTGCATGTTGCATCTCCAGCTGATCTGCACTTTCACAGCCGTGCAAGAGATTCCACATCCTACTGCTTGACCTTAGGGCGTCCTGTTKGTTTTACAGGCTGAGTCTGGGATTCCTTTTGATGTACTTTGTATGCACCCAACCAAAACAGCATTTCTTTTACCTCACCCACTATTTAACAGTGTTTATACTAAAGCCAGCACTTGAGTTCATTTAAATAAGATATTAATTATTGGGGAAGGGGGGGGGGGGGGGGGGGGTTTCAAATGGACAGAGTTTGAACGTTTCCTGAGACAATTTCTCCTCTGTTTTATTTTTATTTGACAACCTACTTACTCATCTTCCTGCTCCTGACAGAATTGCAGTATTCATATTATCAATTTCCTTATTTCTTTACATTTTTTTAATCTGTCAGAAAATTGGATAATTAAAAATGTAGAATTCAATGCTGTTTCTGTTCTRGGTTATTTTGTATATGTAAGGAAATTAAATGTATTTAAGTTGGAAAACATTTCATTAGATCTCTTAATAGTCATGCAGAGTTGTTTCTAGGGTTTTTTTCTGCTCATATTGTCTCAGTAGTCAAGTGTTTACTTTGTAACATTTATTTTTTATACAGTTGACCTAGTTCTAATCAATGCTTTCTGCTGTAAGTCACAGGCAAAATYCTAACGAGCCAAAGCACAGCTGAAATGACTTGCTAGCATTCTACCTGAACTTCACCTTGACTGCCACAACCTCTTTTATACTCCTCAATCCCTTATGTGCAGTATTTGACTGAATGAAATAAGTTTTTTAATGGGCTGCTGTGTGATTCTGATTTTCCTCTGCCCATCCCGTGAACACACAGTCTGTGTCCAGGTTAAGAGCTGGCTCTTGTGCACAGCTCTGTATCCACAAGCAGTTCATGCTCTTTGCCCGTTCCAGTAAGAGGCACTCAAACCCCAGAGGAGAATTTCAGTGGCTACAGAGAGATATTTCAGGTTTGATCCCAGCTGGGTAGAGCCCTGTGTTATCCTCGAGTTCTGCCAGTGAGAGCGGCAGTGCTGGGGGTGCAGGGGCACTTCAGAGATCCGAGGCTGCCTCTGAGAAGTGAAGATTTATTGCTGCCATTTGGGGATTAGGAAGGAGGGGCAAGATTTAAACCTATAAAGATGCTAGCAGATGATTTCTGATAGTTGAGATTGCTGGCAAGAAAATGATTAAAGATCAAACAGTCTTTGTATTTTCCTGCTTTACAGTTACATGGAAAGGATGGAGGAAGTTTTTGTAGCAAACCAYGATTACTGACACCTTTTCTATCATCATTCAGCCCATCTGATGTGAATTTGACAGGTTTGGTGTGARGTCCTGGCCAGCAAGATGTGATCTTTGCTTATGCCACTTTTCAAAGCGTATCATCTGTTAATTTTAAWATCACCATACACAGTCACTAAGGCATTTGTACTGTACCCTAATCACAGACATAGCCAGACACATTTTTTGAAGTTGGTTTTAACAAAAGAAATAACCTTCTTAAAGTCATTATGCCCTTAAGCATCATAATACATCTATTCAATGCTTGTGAAGAAATGCTGCTTATTTCAAGCAGTGATTATTTAACTTAAGTCTAGAAAAGCATTCAGTGGTGAATGCTTAACTACTAAAMATACGAGCWGCTTTTCGTGTCAATTCTCTAACTTCTGTCGGTAATCTTTTTTCCAAATCAAGACATGAGAAGAAAACCCCCACACAATTTCAGTACYGAATCCTTTGCAATTCATTATTCCTTTCAGCTATGCATTTAACACCACAGCAAAGATTCGTCTGCTCCAGAACTGTAAAAGTGAAGTACTACTGCAGGAAAGCTAGCATTTCTTTTTAGAAGAGCATCAGACCCGAGAACACACGATTTCTTACCTGAAAGCTTTTGGTTTRCCTGCAGAAAATGAGTCTTCTTAGCCTTAAAAGTAGGCAAGGCTCTCACTAGCACTAAGGTTACTCCAAAAGAAGGTACGATAGCTCCTTTAGGTTGTAATTTCACTGTTTGTATGCAAGAAGTGTGCCGGCTCTGCTCACGTAGGAATAAATAAATAAAGCCCCGGCAGCACGAAGCGAGCAGCAGCTCGTGGAGGGATGTACCAGACCTCTAGTGGTCACAGGCAGCAGCTGAGCAGGGACCGTTCCCTCCTCCGGAATGGGGACAAAATGGTTGGGTGCGACAGAAAGGAGCCCGGGATGTGCCCGAGGGACAGAGAGAGCCCGGGAGGAGCGGGATGTGAGCGGCACCACTGCACATCCCCGGCAGGGACTGCCCTCCCTGAGCCAGGACACTGCGAGCATCCCAAACAATCGGAAAAATTATTCTGCATGCTCATCAGTTTTGTTGTTAAAATAAAATCTAGGCATTGAAAGTAGACTCGCTTTTAAGAATGAAAACTTCAGCAAATTAAAAGGAATTGCTAAGGAGGAATCTTCGCAGTCTGAAAGGAAAACTGCAGATCATTAAACTCACTGCTATTGCTCGGGAAATAATACAATTTTTGGTAACTTACAGTGAAAACTCAGAACTCGAAATCATGTGATCTCTTTCAACATTTTGACTTTAGGAACTGAGAAAGATAAAGCATTTCCTTCTGAGGAAGTTTGGAAGTTTTGAGATATGAAGGTCATAGCGTTCTATAGACGCTTGAGAGTTCAGTAACAGCTGCTTAAACACCTGCAGAATGTAAAAAATAGCATTTCTTGCACTATTTCTTCCTGTGAGTAATCAAATTATTAGAATTTTTTTATTCTAACATATCCTCTTTCTATGAATTCCTAATGGACGAATCCCAGGGAACACCACGTGCTTTTTAGGAGTCTTAATGTGATATTGAGTTGCACTTTATACATGAAGTTTTCTTGTCACAGTGTGTGTTTCCATGTGGTGCCTCATTAATGATGCAGCTTCCTCACAAGAGCCTGTCCCTTGCCAAGGCAGCTTTTGAATAATCCTTTTGGAGTTCTTAGTATGTTTCTTTCATCTAGGCTTGCAAAAGCTTGAATATTATTTATTTTTACATACATAAAGGGATTTATCAGGCATTTTGGGTACTTCAGCTTCAGAAAGAATACAATCCAATATTTTAAGTAATCCACATGTGTCGATTCTGTCTGGTTTGCTTTCAGAGTCAYTTTGTGGCGTGCATGACAGCGATCCTAAACCAGATGAACGACCAGCATTATTCAGTGTACATTGAAACTTTTCAGACAAGTTCAGAACTAGTGGTGAGTACTAAGTAATCATGGAATTGATTGTTCTARGTATTTGAGTTATTGCAAAAAATCAGTGGTATTGTTTTGGGGTTTCTTGTCTGATTCTTCCCAGAATAAATTCTGTTTCTGCACATTTTTTGCCCCTGTGTTATTGCATTTCCTCCCCCTCCTGCTGGTGACACTGTTCAACACTGTAATCAGAAATTTGGAAAGGCACAAAGGTCTCTGTTGATCGTGACACCAAGGTGGTGATGTAACAATCCAGAATAAGTAATGGGATCTTTGTGCTGTACTCTTCTGAGGAAGGGACAAAAAACAGAATAAACCCACAACAAAAGAGTGGCAAAGCTTATCCTCAGCTGGTTGAACATTCCCTCCCCACTTCACACAKGGTGATCCTTTTCCACTCTCATTTTCACTCTTCAGCCTACTGGCRCAGATCACATTGGAAGCCAAGTGCAGTAAATGCCCTGTTCTTGTAGTGCATCCTTTAATGCCAGGTTTTTCTGGCACACTTTAGTGGCAGTTCAGGTACATTGTGGCATGTGYCAGAAGGTTTCCAGAGTCCTGTGTCTGTCCTTTTACACTCCTGCTATAGCTCTTGGGTAAGTCAGGGTAGTGGCAATGGTTGTTATTGCACCATCTACATTTATTCCATTGAGGCAATATTTAAACTTGTCAAGAGCTGTCCACTTTCCTTTGTTTCTTGAAGTCAGAGTGGTGCCATAGTTAAAATGGTAAACGTGGACTAATGGACTAAAATGAAAACCCTGGCGCTTTCAAATCTATTCATTTCATTAGGCATAGTGAAACTGTTTTCCTAATTCACAAAAAAATTCRACTTTACTCCAAAGTACTACAACTTTTTCCTTCCATTCATTTATGCCTTCTATCTTCATAAGAGCCCTGCATAATGAGTTCGATGCAATGGCTTTTAGCTGCCATTTGGAGTCTGAAACTGTTGTTCTACAGGACTTTGGCTCCAGTCTTAGGTTTATAATATCACCAGGAATGCTTCTCTTGACTTCGCTGGGAGCAAAGTGGATCCCTCCATCTCAGCTCCTTGATCACAGCAGAAACACCTCAAAGTGTGTGCTACACAGCCCCTGACTGACTGCATTTTGTTGTTCCAGGACTTCTTGATGGAAACATTCATAATGTTCAAAGATCTCATTGGGAAGAACGTTTACCCTTCGGACTGGATGGCCATGAGCATGGTGCAGAACAGGTGAGGAGGGGCTCTGGGTGCATGTGGAGAGTGACTGCTTTCATACCTTACAGAAAGGTTTTCTGTGCAGTGTTGGATTATTCTACCCCTCCCATTTGAATGAATGAAAAGGTTCTTTGAGTTGGGTTGTAGTGGTTTTTTTTTGTTTGTTTGTTTGTTTTTTGTTTTTTGCATTCCATGATTCAAAAGGGAAGATTATGTTGTAGTGGTGGTTCTGGTCAGGTGTACAAACCTCACTTTATCACTCATGGATGCTAATGAACATGCAGAGGGATCCCTGGCCCCTCTTCTGAGGTGGGCAGGTACAGATGTGCTGTACACATGTACACATCCATTCAGGTAACATTTTGTTCATTACAGTAGTTTCATCCATCTTATTTTTCTGTCTGAGCAAGTCTTTGGCCTATAAGGTAAAATCTAACTCCTTGCACTTCCTTATGTTGCTGCTGCAGTGATTGAAATCAGTTTTAATGTAGCAGAGATTACTAAAAAAATTATCAGTTTAGTACTAAACTGCCTACAATCATCTGGCACATGTAAGGACATCAAACATTTCATATGTAGATAAGAAACTGTGTTTCTTATTCTAGAAAATGCTGTTAACATCTGCATTATCCACAAGTATGGGATTATTGTAGTCTATGAGCGTGAGAAGTGTCTGTCCTTGTTCAAAGAATGTCCTTGGGGCTTGGGGCTTCACCTGATGGTGTCTCCATTTCCTCAGGTGCTGACAGTAAAAATTGGTTTTGGGGATTGTACATGGTTCATATGTCCCCTAATGACTCTCAACTGTGTGGACAAGTTGTTCCAGGCAGATTTTGTTGCTCTAAGCTTTATCCCATGTAGAGATGTAAGTCAGCATTAAAAAAAATATTGTTTAGAAKCTACTTAATAGCTCTCCTGTAAACACTCTGCTTACCTAAAATGACTTGGCACTGTTTGTACTCCTTGATTATGTTGCTGTWCTCTGGAATGCATAAGGAAATGAGTTATTGATCTTACTTTATGTCTTAATTTTATGTTATATCAACACCTGGGAGGGGAGGATGTTTATCAGTCTTTATAGAAATTCGGGATTGTTTTTTTCTTTGTTCGGGTTTTGGGAATTTCTTCCAGGGAATGGATGTTCTATGAAAAAAATTGAAAACTAATTGAATTTTCTAAGATTTGTCTTGTTAAGATTCTTTACCACAACCAGAGAACTAGCAGAGAAAAAGTCACAGGGGATCAGGCTTAGGTCTCTTACAACAACACTGAGAGAAGAAAAGGAAATTTAAACAAAACCCCAACAAACCAAACACAAAAAATATCAGCGCAGTGCAGGTTTTGCATTCTCAATTCCCCTGGTGTGAACAGGAGGCTCCATGCAGACTTTTTCCTCCCTGGAGCAGGGGGTTTTACCTCGAGTCTCCCCTTTTCTGCATTTGCAAAGAGCTTGGTTAGGGCTGTGGGGCACATCTGCTGTGTGTGGTGTGACCTGGCCAGTGGCAGGATGTGGCTGGTGCCACTTGTGCCCTCTGGGTGTTCAGCAAAGCCTGGCAGTCTCCCCTGCATGCTCCTGTGTGTTTTGTAGCAGGGAAGGTGGGAATTGGAGATTTGCTGTAGGAGGGACTGCAGCACAGAGATGTGAGATCAGAGCAGAGGGAAGAGCACCCCCAGCACTGCAGGACTGCTCCTGTTTGCTGGGCAGGGCACCCCAATTCCTGCCGTGTGTGAGCAAGGACAGGCAGTGCCTGAAGAATACCAGGGCTATTTCAGCTCAAAGATTGGCACAGATAGGGGCAAACAAGGAGAAAATGAATTCTTACAGGTCCAAAGGAAGGGACAATGGGCACATTCAGGTCCAGGAGAAACTGAGGTAGATGAGTTGAAAAAAAGGAGTAGAAACTTCGTTGACTAAACTCACTTATCAAGCTTTTCTGCTATCAGGATGAAATAATTTGACTCAAATTGCTTTAAATCACTGTTAYACATGACGTGTTCTTTGCTTCCCAAGCCTGTTCTGACTCCCAAAGCACATTTGAAGGAGGCAGAGGCTGTGTGTGCTGGTCCCACTGGACAGGCAATATTCAATGAGCAACAGAGGATGAAAAGAGGGAATTAAATACCTCTCCTTTTTTTTCTGTTTCTGTCCCCTTCCATTAACAGCAAGATGGAAAGAACACTCTTTTATGGCCTGCTAGGTGGGGCAGAACACTTTGGGAAACAGTAACATCATCACTGAGGTCTTGAGGATATAACATCTGAGTTATTTTTGTGRTCCTCCATGGTGGATTTAATTAACTTTTGTTCTAATTAAAGTTGCTTACTGCATTCTTCTTATTAGTTGCTACTGCTTGTATGTGCACTTTATTCCACTCATGGCACTTAGATATTGGCTATTAACTTATTAAAAGCAGTAATTCCTAAGTACATGGCATTTGTGAGGAAATGCTTTGCTGGTTTAGGTAGTACCATATAGTCTGTTTATCTTCCAGATGTTCATAATTTTAATTTAGAGRGATGTAATTTCTCCCAGGAAATTCATGTACCTTACTGTCACCATGAATTGTGTGGGGAGTCAGATTTGCTGAGTTAAAGGAACAGTTAGCAGGGTTAGCAACAAACTATTCACATCCCTGCCCTTATCCTCTGGGCTTTGAAATGGTAATTCCTCACATGGAGTCTGGAAGTATTTGATCTTATCATAATTATTACCTGGATCAGTTTGGGGGGTGTCCAGTCTGAAGTGGCTTAGTGAGCACTTTGATTGTTGGTGTGTTCATTTGGGTTGTTTTTTGAACCTTGCCCATATTTTATTCAGGTATTTAAAAACAAATGCAAACATCTCAAGGTCAGATCCTGTTCACTGAAAAAACTCCTGCGAGATAACACTGTAGGGTATTTTCTRACACCGGTAGTTTGGCTTTTTCTGAAATATGTTTTCATTACCTGTGTATCTGAGTGTTTTCAGACATCTGTCAGAGTCAAGTCTTCCCCMGTGCTTGTAAAGTCTAACTTGAAAGGTTTAGCGCTGCAGGTATTTGGCAAAAGAGCTGGAATTGTTGTCAATTTTCTTTMATTATACATACTAAAAATAGCTGCTTACTTGCTGATGAACACTTTGTAACACCCTCCAGACGTGGATCTGGTGGAGCTCACACTCGGAGCAGTGTTATTAATTCAGCCAAATCTCACTGTGGCTTCGAATCAGTGCCTCCTGCACCCCCGGGCAGCTCTCACACTGCCAGGGCTGGGGTTCTTTGGTGCCCTGTCCTGGTCAGGCAGCAAAGGGAGGCACAATAAATTCTTCTTTGGTGCCAAGCAAGGCACTGCTGTTAGGAGAAGGACAGCAGGGATTCCAGATCTGGGTTTTGTTGGGCTTTTGTGGTTTTTCTTTTCATAGTTCATCAGAGAATGGTCCCGTGGCTCCTGAAAAACATGTGTACGCACATTCCTGAACACAACCTTGGACAAAATGTTCAGGGCCAGGTTGGACAGGGCTTGGATCAACTCGGTCTAAAGGAAGGTGTCCCTGCTCATGGCAGAGGGTGGAATGAAATGAGATTTAAGGWMSCTTCCAWTCCAAACCATTCYGTGATTTGATGRACTCAAGTTGAAAGGGAGAAAAATCTCAGAGTAATTAAAATATTTGAACTGCTCCTCAGTCTTCCATTTATCTGTTAGTGGAAATTAAAGCTTGTCATATTTGAAAAACAAACAGAAAACCCAAACCAACCCCCAAAGGAGAAGTTTAGGTTAGTTTACCCTGAAAGTTGATTCATTTACATAACTGAGGTTGGATGACGGTGTTGTGGTTTACTTTGTGCAAATAAGGCAGAATCTAGAAGGCTGATCTGCTGCATACAAGTAACTCTTTTCTTTGATCTCATTTTCCTCTGCAACTTTTGACTGATTTAAACTATAGAAATGCRGTTGTTTTTACAAGGGCTTGAATTTTCAGGGGAGCAGAATACATTTATAYCAGGCTTATGGCATATTGCAGAACTTTGTAATTGTAATGTACAAAAAAATATTTTAAACAASAAGTATAAATGTCTAATGAAATTATTCTTTTATGCACGCTTGCAGAAAAGGGTAAACAAGGTATTATAACAAGTTCAAACAAATTTTACTGCTTAGTCATGGATTTAATTGTGTACAGTGATGTGTCCTTGGACTGTTTGACTTTGTTATGAGAATAAAAATGTCCTTGCTGAAATGCAACTTCCCTGTTAATATAACATCCCTTTCAGAGGGAAATTTCTTTCTTTATTGTTTTCCATGCTGGGGTATTTGGTACAGGGTGCCTCAGTGTTCTCAAATTGTATCTCCATTACAYCCAGGCTCCTCTGTTTCCTCTTTCTCAGTCTCCACTAAAGTCAGTGTTTGTAATCAGGCAAATGGCATCGAGTCATCCTTGGCCCTTGGTGAGGCAGGTGAGGAGCAGAGGCAGAGCTTTCCCTGGGCTGTCCCTTCACTCCAAGGAGAGTTTCACTCCCAGCTCTGGTGGATCTGCTCTCTCTGCTGGAGCTCCCAGCCTGGCACACAGAGTCCCTGTCCCTGCCCCTCAGGTGCCTGGCTGTGCCCGTGCCAATGTCCCCCTGCCTTTGCACTGCTCACAGCTCCCTGCAGCACACACGGTGCTCACTCTGCACCAGCTCTGTGTGCTGCTGTTATCCATATTGTGCAATGAACCCAAACACTTCATTGTGCAGTGGCTGCAGCAGATCATCTGCCCAGCAAGAGAGGCAGCGCCCATCGTGGTCACGGCACAGACTGGATGTCTGGTGGGTTTGAACTGCAGTCATTTATTGAAACTTTTATCTAAAATACGGAGAGAAAACATGCTGGGAGATATCCCATTCCCACTCCCACTGCAGAGTGTCTCATCTTTCCTTTCTCAGCTGCAGGCATGCTCACACTCCTAGACTAAAGGAAAAGTCCTCACTRGAGAGAGCAACACAACACAMAAAAAAAAAMATCTTGGTAATTTGATGKTCTCAGGAAGTCAGTGAGAT